CAAATTGACTATGCCTCCGATACACCCACAAGCCATGTCCACTAGCCAATCAAGAGAGAGTATGCAAATTAACCCAACTAAGATGGCTGCAGTCACAGAGTGAGCAGGAAGCTTGGGTTTCCCAGGCAATGGAGGAAGCCAATCTTTCTGCCGGCCCTGTCCTGCACTGGCCTCTGCTCAAGGCTACCAAGTTTCAATTATAGAAGATAGATAAATCCATACCAGGGCCTCTGCTTGGATCACTGGGGGGGGAGGGGGGAGCACCCTGAAAACCACCCCTCAGCCCAAAGGTACCCCCACCCTGATCCTGGACACCCTTCAGGAAAAACCAGCTGGCCCCCACCTGTGCATCAGGCCTCTATCCTATCTAATCTATAATAATAAAAGCCTAAGCAACCATTGCAACTAAACGGATGACCAAAAAGGCTGTGTGGGATGACCAGGCCGGCAGGGGTGCTAGTGAGGGACAACCAAACGACCGAACAGCAGGCTGCATGGGTCAACCAGGCCTGCAGGGGGGACAGTTGGAGGCAACCAGGCCAGGGGTGGGGGGTGGGGTGGTGGCAGTGAAGGGCAACCAAATGACTGAGCAGCAGGCTGCATGGAGTGACCAGGCCAACAGGGGTGTTAGTGAGGGGCTATCAGACAGCAGGATGTGTGGGGTGACACCCCCTCATGCACAAATTTAATGCACCAGGCCTCTAGTAAAAGAGTAATATGCAAATTGACCATCACTCCAACACAAAAGATGGCTGCCCCCATGTGGACACAAGATGGCCATCACAAGATGGCCAGCTAGGGGCAATCAGGTTGGCAGGGGAGCAGTTAAGCATCAATCAGGCTGGCTGGGAAGTGGTTAGGGGGTGATCAGGCTGGCTGGAAGGCAGAACCTGTTAGGGGCAATCAGGAAGGCAGGCAGGTGAGCAGTTGGAAGCCTGGATTGTGAGAGGAATGTCAGACTGCCCATTTAGGCCCAATCCTACCGAGATGGGCCTAAACAGTCAGTCAGACATCCCTTGAGGGGTCCCAGATTGGAGAGGGTGCAGGCTGGGCTGAGGGACGGACACGGACACACACACACACACACACACACACACACACACACCCTGTGCATGAATTTTGTGCACCGGGCCTCTATTCCTACATAAAAGGCTAATATGCAAATTGACTGAACTGCAGAACGACTGATCACTATGATGCCCACTGACCACCAGGGTACAGACACTCAACACAGGAGCTGCCAAGCTGCAGTGGCTTGGCAGCGGCAGTTCTCAGGTAATGCACCCTGAAACCAGAGAGGAAGGAGCCTGATTCCTCGGAGGGGCCATGCAATTCCACCTTGGGCCGTGGGTTATGTTGTTGCTGGGGCACTGTCGGCCCGAATCTAATTTGCTGAACAGATTATAAAACAGCAACTTTGCAGAGTGCCCTCTTGCACTCTGGGACCTTTCGGGGATGTTGGAGAGCCAGTTTAGGCCCGATCCCCGCAGGCCAAGCCGAGGAACCCTAGCTGTGGAGGGATCCCCTCACTCCACAGATAAAGGGGGGAGAACACAGAAGGTTGGCTCCAGGTCTGGCCCTGCCCTGTCAGTCACCTTCTAATTTCCTTTCAAAGTGCACGAATCAGTGCACTGGGTCACTAATGATAAATTTTATGATTGACAGAACACATTGGTACAAAAAGCTCACATAAAGGCAGAGAAGGCTTCCTGAACAAACAGACATATTGCCTTAGACCCAGAATATAAGGTTAGAATTAGCCAGACTTATGGGTGGGACACAAGAAAGAAATGTTCCAGAAATAAAGATTAGGAAGTGAGAACACAAATTTGGAAAAGGGTTGAAAGAGAGACACAGAACTTGACACAAGATGAAGCTAAAAACGTAAAGCAGGAATCAGCTCACAAAAGACCTGGAAAGATATGTTTATTGAGAAATTTGGACTTTATCCTATCATTAGAAAATTATTGGGATTTAACAGAAAAATGTGTATATTAGCAAATAATATGGCTGAAGTAAAGAATAAATTAGAAAGAGCTGCCATGGAAGGCAAGAAAATCAAGTAGTTGCTGTTGCAAGTGTCTAGGATTAGAGATAGCAGTAGTATGAAGCAGGATTGTGGTAACTTGAATGGAAAGAAAAACAACTGACCAGAAAAAGATAAGAAAGGTAGAACTGAAGAAATTGGATTTGGTGACCTGCTAGATAGGGGGGAAAAAGAGAGGAAGAAGTCAAATATTATCTCAAATTTTTGTATCTGCCAATTGAGGGAATGATGATGGTACCAACTTACTGTTACCTTTGTTGGAAATATTTACAGGTCCTAAAAAATTATTAGTTTCTCCTCAGTTATGTGCATTGATATAAACGGAGCAAAAAATATTTGATTTAATTCTGGCAAATATACTTTTTATCTCTTGAACTATCTTCCACCTACTCTGCATGAAATATTAAAATGAGCCTGGCCAAAACCAGTTTGGCTCAGTGGATAGCACACCAGCCTGCAGACTGAAAGGTCCCAGGTTCGATTCCGATCAAGGGCATGTACCTTGGTTGCGGGCACATCCCCAGTGGGGGGTGTGCAAGAGGCAGCTGATCGATGATTCTAACTCTCTCTCCCTCTCTCTTTCTCTCTGTAAAAAATCAATAAAAATATATTTTAAAAAATGAGTCTATTTTACAAGCATACAGTAACAGGAGAAGAAAAAAAAAAAAAGGTATTTAGTTGGCAAAGAAACTTGGCTTAGCGCATGGAGAAGGCCAGCTTGAAATTAAAGCTTGCAATTTAGTAATCCGCAAATGAAAAAAGGCAAGAACTGACAGTATCCCCAAAACACAAGAGTCTCAAGAGTGTTTTCTTTGAGTCTATTTACAAAAATAAGCACAGGAGCAGCTCTTCCATAAAACCAGGACAGGCTCTTTAAAAAGTATAATTTAATAGAATTTTGGCAAGATGAATAAGAAAGAATCTACTGGGGGTGGGGGAGTGAGGCACTGCCCGCTGAAATCTAACTTCAAGAACAAAAGGCAGGATCTCTTAAAACCCACTCATCCCTTCAGAAATGTAGGTGCCCTAACCTTCTGGTCAAGCAGATTAGTAGTCTCTTTTCAAACACTCGCATTTTGACTCTGTAACACTATACCCAACACTGTGAAAATACACTTAGCTCTAAGAAAGGAATTTCAAGTACAACTCATTCCTTTACACACTGTATTACCTGGTAGACAAATATACTAGTAAAGCTTATGTACCAATGTATTTATAATGCACATATTTATGTGTTTGTATGGGAGGTAACACAATGAAAAGACGAGAACTTGGCACAGTCTTGTCACTTCTTGTATTTGCAAAAACTGAAAATACCACTTGTATTCTCTCAAGGCAGTTTTATTTATATCACAATAAGAATTTCCTCCCATTGAATGGGTTCAACTAGTCGATGAAGTAAAAAGTAGATGCCCCATACTCCAGGTACCTAGCAACCCCTTCACCCAACTCCCACTGGGCTTCTCCCACACGCTATTTCATCAGTTACCTAGGGAGTCTGTGAGGGACGGGTGATCCTTTCTCTTGGAAAACAGATAAAGCCTGACCACATAGTGTGTTCAAGGACCAGGTTCAATTAATTATGAAAAAATAATAATGAAAACTATTGGTTTTCTGAACTATCATTTTTTCCTTCAGTCTATGTGGTAAAATGACCCAATTCTCACGAAAACGGACTTCATGAACGCTAAGAAACTTGCTAAATCCTTCCAGCTGCGGTCACAGGGACCGTCCCCTCTTTACATGTACACAGACCCACCAACATCAGACATCTGACCAAAAGTTTTCCCACCATTCTATCATATCATACTGCAGGGAAGGTAGGCAAACATGTTGGGTTTTCCTACAGTTCCCCTAGCCCAGCGTTTCCCAAACTTCTCTCATGATGAGAATCACCTGGTGGAGTTGTGAAACTACTGATTCCTGAATCCCAAGCTTTGAGCACTAGTTAAGTATATAATTTTACCTATATGTGCCCCAAAATTCTAGTTTAGCACTTCTTAGTTGGGATTCAGGAATCTGTAGGTTCACAACTCCACCGGGTGACTCTCATCATGAGAGAAGTTTGGGAAACACTGCCCTAGCCTAGGACGTTCCGGTTGACAGGCAGCCCACACGTTTCAATCACTTAAAAGATGGGTGATAGGCCTTTCACGCTTTCGTTGAGGAAAAACGGGTACTAAGACGATCATTTGCCCCAAGATTTACAACGCTGACGACTGCACGTGTGTGTACTGCTACACAAAAGGTAAACTCTAATGTTAAAAAAAAAAAAAAGGGGGGGGGGGAGAGTGAGCGGGGGAACCTCTCTCTCAAGCCTTAACTATAAAATGTGAAGGTAATTAGAAGCTCGCGGAGATCGTTGTACTCTGAATTGCCCCATCCTGGAGCTTCCTACCAAGTTTTCCCGTGACATGGAGGTTAGGGAACAGCCCTGAGAATACAGAGCGAAAAAGGCTCTCCTCGCACTGAAAGAGGGAAGAGAAACCAGACAGGAGAAGAAACACGGTGAGGAAAGAGAAAGACGGGCTGTGCCGTGGCAGTAAGTCAGTTACACACACACACACACACACACCAAATAAAAATATGTCAATTACACACACAAAATAAAAATATGTCAATTACACACACAAAATAAAAATGTCAATTACACACACACACACACACACCCCAAATAAAAATATATGTCAATTACACACACACAAAATAAAAATATGTCAATTACACACACACACACACACACACACACGTTATGAACCACTCATGAGCCATTCACTCGGAGGAACCCGAGCCCAAAGCCCCGCAGCCCGAGGGGCGAACTCGGGAGCCGGTGGCAGGAGGCGCCCGAGCCCAGGGACACGGCAGCCGCTCCCCGCTAGGACGGGGGTCGCGGACTGGAGACGGAGGCTCGCCGGGGCCGCCTCCCCGCCGGCCGGTCAGCAGCGACACCCACCTGGAGACGGCCATGGCCGGGCGCCGGCGGTTCGAGGTTCCCCGCGAGCTGGGCGCCGCGCCGCCGAGGCGCTAGTTTGCCGAGGCAGCGCGGCGCAGGCCCAGACCGCGGCGCGGAGGGGAGCGGCGGGCGCGGCGCGGGGCGGCCGGGCGCGGGCTCTCGGGCATCTGCCCCCAGCCTACCGACGCTCGTCCCCCGCAGCGGCCCGGCAGCAGGAGGAGGGGTCTGACCCAGCGGAGGCGGCAGTCCTCCGACCCGCACGACTTCAAACCCGGTGCCCCCAGCCCCGCTCGCTGCTGACGCAGGCGTCCGCACGCCGGACTCGGCGTCAGCGCGCCGGAAGTGACGTCACCCCGCTCGGGGCTCCGCTCGGGGAGGCGGGCGAGGAGGACCAGCGGCGCGGGCCCGGCCGCGGGCGTTTAAGAAAGGGGGAACAGGAAATCTCTGTGTGCTCACCTGGAGAGGGTCGTTTAATTTTAACACGAGGCGGGGCGAAGGACTGGGGGGAGAGGGGGGGGAAGGGCTCATTTATTCTTTTTAGAGAAGGAAAAAAAAAGGCGATGTAACCACAGTTCCGGAAGTTCAGAAACTTAGTTTCTATTTTCCCTTTCCGCCCCATCCTCATGCCACCGAGCTGCTTCTAGAGAAAAAGCAATGACGAAGGACCTTAGGGCGCTCTGGTCCACGCGGGGAGGCCGGGGGGAGGGGGGAAATTAAGGCAGATCTGCAGTGGCACTTAAGACACGGTTCACGTGTTTGCCATAGTGGCCAGAAGTTCTGCATCTATTTTACCGAGTTGGACTTCCCAATTGTTCAATGGTGATGGTGCCATCCTTTTCTCAACCAGATGTGAAAACTTCCATTTTGGGGGGGGGGGGGGGGGGGGGGAGGAGGGTCAGGTTTACCTGGTTATTCAGTCGCTTAATTCATTAGGTTTTTAAATTTTATCACCATCAACTTGATTTTGATGAAAGTAGTCAAAGTAATATTTCTCCGTCTTCAGCTGAGCGCATCGTATAGGCCTCTCAGATTAATCTTCAAGAAACACTGTTTTTATTGGGTCATTCCCCTGCTTGTATAACTTGTACAATGGCCTCTCATTTCCTGAAGAGGCTGTGTTTCAAGCCCTGAGTCTGTTTTTCAACTATAAAATGAGGCTAATGAGCAGTACTATAGAAGGTATGGAAGTAAAATGAGGTCATGTATCCAGAAGAGCTTTGTAAACAATAAAGTAGTATATAAATGTAAGGAAAAAGAAACTAGTTTAAGTACCTGCTATATGGTGGGCACGTGGTATGCATTATCTCATATAATTTGTAAGCTTGCCCTGTAAAGTAAGTTTTAATCTTCACTTTATAGGAGAGGAAACTAAGCTCAGAATGTTTAAGTAATTTACTCAAGATCCAAGCTAGTAATAATATTTACTGTTCGTTCATCAAGTATTTATTCATTCATCAAGTATTTATTTGGCACCTATTCTGTGTCAGACACTCTGCTAAGCACTTTTGTGCTATTACATCTGATTTAGCTGGTGTTCAAATATCTTCACGTTTCACAGTCTCCTCCCACCTGCATTCGCAAATTTACCTCCTGCGACTGAAACTAACCAGCAGGTACTATTTCCTAACTGTACTATTTACATTCATTGATTCAACCAAAATTAAGTATGTACCATGCTGCTAACCTCTGTACTAGAAATTGTGACTGCAAAAGAAACCAGAACAGACAAGGGGCCCACTCTGGTTGAAGTTATATTCTAGGAAAAAGAGAGATAAGAAAATGCCATGTTTGCATGTTATGTAAAACAGAATGATGAGATAGGCTGATTAGAGACTCTAAACTGGGTAATGAGGAAACATTGAGGAGTCACTGAAGGTGAGGCCCAAATGACAGCAGGGAGCCAGCTGTGTAAAGACCTGGGGCGCCTTCCAGGTGGAGGATACCCCAAGTGAAAAGCCTAAGAGAAGTCTGCTGTGTTGGGAGATGAGCTGGGAGAGGTAGAAAAGGGCCGCTGTAAGGGATTGGGATTCTACTCTAAACGCAGCAAAAAGTTATAGAGGGTTTTAAAAGGATCTGGTATACACTTCAAAAATCTTACTCTAATATCCAAGAGGTAATTAGATATGTAGTTATAAAGGACATTTAGAAGAGAGAAAAGGGCTAATATGATAGGTTTGTAAGGGAGAGTGTGATAACCAAATATATTGATGTCAGACTAAATTGTTTTTTTTTAAATATATTTTATTGATTTTTTTTACAGAGGAAGAGAGAGGGATAGAGAGTTAGAAACATCAATGAGAGAGAATCATTGATCAGCTGCCTCTTGCATACCCCCTACTGGGGATGTGCCCGCAACCAAGATACATGCCCTTGACCAGAATTGAACCTAGGACCTTTCGGTCCGCAGGCTGATGCTCTCTCTATCCATTGAGCCAAACTGGTTTTGGCAGACTAAGTTGTTTTTAAGTCATTCTTCACCACACTTAGCAGCTCTATGCCCAGGAGAATTATATAACCTTTCTAAACTTCAGTTTCTTCATCTGAGAAATAAAAATAATAGTACCACAGAAAGTTGTGATCAAGATTAACTGAGATAATGAATATAATGTTTATTGTAATAAAAAAAAAAAAACTAATTCATTACATTAGTTATTCTTTTCGTTAACTATGTGACCTTGAACAAGTGGCTTAACTATGTTTCAGCTTTCTCAGCTGTGAAATGGGGATAATAATAGCACTGGTCCACAACCCTTACCTGAAACCCCAGCCAGATGGTTTTCTAAATTTAGAATTCTTTCCGTTTTGAGAAGTTATCCAATATACATGCCTTTTTTTATATCACACCCCAACAGCTTCTAGGGCCGCACCTTATTACCAAATACATTTCTAGTTCTGCAGCAAAATGTATTAATAGGCATACTAAGAGGAATTATTAAAAGACTATAAATAACTACATGCCAATTCAGATGAGGTTTTGCCTTCAAATGAATTTTTTTAAAGTATGATTTTCAGACCTTTTTCAATTTCAGAATTGTAAAGAATGAACCATGTATCGTACTTTTTTTTAAAATATATTTTATTGATTTTTTACAGAGAGGAAGGGAGAGAGATAGAGAGCTAAAAACGTCGATGAGAGAGAAACATCAACCAGCTGCCTCTTGCACACCCCCTACTGAGGATGTGCCCGCAACCCAGGTACATGCCCTTGACCAGAATCGAACCTGGAATCCTTCAGTCCACAGACCGACGCTCTACCACTGAGCCAAACCGGCTTCGGCTCATGTATCGTACTTTTAAGGTCCATGTAAAGTTATAAGGATTAAATGAGTATAAACATGATAACACTTAAAAATACTAAATGTCAAATAACAGCTATTATTAATTTTATTATTACTAATCCTCATCCAAGGATATTTTCCACTGATGTTTAGAAAGAGTAGAAGGGAGGAATAGAGGGAGAGACACATCAATGTGAGAGAGAGACACATTGATTGGTTGCCTATCCCATGTCCCCCAACCGAGGCCAGGGATTGAACCTTCTACCCAGCTGCGTGCCTTAATGGGGAATTGAACCCAAGGCCCTTTGGTGTGCAGGCTGATACTAACCACTTAGAAACAGTGTGTAGAATGTCGAAGAGAGGACGCGGTGGGTCCTCTGGGGCCAAATTCTGGATTTCCCTGGGTCTTCCGATGGGAGCCGTGATCAACTGTGCCGACAACACAGGAGCCACAAATCTGTACATTATCTCTGTGAAGGGGAATCAAGGGACGACTGAACAGGCTTCCTGCTGCCGGTGTGGGCGACATGGTGATGGCCACAGTGAAAGAAGGCAAACCAGAGCTTCGAAAGAAGGTACATCCAGCGGTGGTAATTAGACAACGGAAGTCATACCGGAGAAAAGATGGCGTGTTTATTTTGAGGACAATGCGGGGGTCATAGTAAATAATAAAGGGGACATGAAAGGTTCTGCCATCACAGGACCCATTGCAAAGGAGTGTGCAGACTTGTGGCCCAGGATTGCGTCCAATGCTGGCAGCATTGCATGATTCTCTGGAGTATTTGTAAAGGAAAAAAACATTAAAAATTGGTGACATGAAAAAGAAAAGAAAAGAAAAGAAACAGTGTGTAGAGTGGGGGCACACACAGATAACTAAACCAACCACTGGCAATGGGGATGGAAGAATCCTTAGACCACCCAAGAGACAGTTTCAGCTTCCCCTGAGATAAGCTCTACTGTGAGAATTGGAAAGAAGGTTGCTTCACCTCTAGGCATCATGCATCCAGGGAAAAGAAGGAAAAGGAAGGAGTAAGAGGCAGTGCTTGTCTCAAGAAAGCAAAAATCTTCCCAGACCTAATATCTCATTGGCCAGAACAGTGTCATGTGGCCACAATAGCTGCAGGGAATTCTGGGCAGATCGTGAAATGACACATGCACTAACTTTAGCCTTTTCTCATATGCTCAAAAGACCTTTGATATGAATATAAAAGTATAAATTATCCAGTTAAATTATTTAGAGGTTTACATCAAAGTTCTTACATCTTCCAATACATTGTTGTCTCGTGGTAACCACAAAATAAATTTTAGATGGACTAACTGAAATTTTAAAAATAAAAATTGTATTAAAAGTATGTATATTAAATGTTATATGTAAAATCCCAAATGAGATTTTATATGGATACAAACTCTGCCTTTCTGTAGTCAAATGAGAGCAGGGTGACTGTGAAAGGAAGAGAAAAGGAGAACCAGCCTAATATCCTAACTTCAGGCCCATACAAGCGTATGGTTGAAATAAACATATGCACATTCAGGTTGAGGATCTTGAAATTGAGAATTGAGTTGTGAAAAGTCTACTTAGGCCTATACACTTCTTGAAAAGTTTTTGGGTATCCTCAGGGGTATATATAATCCAGTTTAAAGACCACTGCTCTTGGGAAAACTCTGTACACAAGATTTCTACAAGAGTGTTCACTGCAGTACTGTTTATCAGCTAGCAAACTTAGGAATGGCCTAAATCTCCATCTCGAGAATGATGGAGAAATTAAATGTAATATAGCATATGATGGGATACCAACAGCAGTAAACTAAATTAACTAGATCTATATATGCCAATATGGATGAACCTCAAAACCATAAGTTGAGCCAAACCAGATAGAGCATTGGCCTTAGGACTGTAAGGTCCCAGGTTCGATTCCAATTAAGAGCATGTACCTGAGTTGTGGGCACATCCCCAGTGGAGAGTGTGCAGGAGGCAGCTGACCGATGTTTCTCATCGATGTTTCTAACTCTCTATCCCTCTCCCTCTCTGTAAAAAAAGAAATAAAATATATTTTTAAAAAATACCATAAGTTGAGTAAAATAAGTAAGATACAGAACAATATGTATAATATCAGATAATTTCTATAAGTTCAAGGCAGCCAATCGATAATTCTCTCTCATCATTGATGTTTCTGTCTCTCTCTCCCTCTCTCTTCCTCTCTGAAATCAATAAAAACATTTTTTAAAAAAGAAGTTTGTGTGTAAATTACCTGTCCATGTTCCATTTTGCTACATATATGTGTATCTATATCCAGAATATATAAAGAACTCCTACAACTCAACAACAACAACAACAACAAAACAACCTAATTTAAAAATGGGCAAATGGCCGAAACCGGTTTGGTTCAGTGGTAGAGCGTCGGCCTGCGGACTGAAAGGTCCCGGGTTCGATTCCGGGCAAGGGCATGTACCTTGGTTGCAGACACATCCCCGGTGGGGGGTGTGCAAGAGGCAGCTGGTCGATGTTTCTTTCTCATCGACATTTCTAGCTCTCTCTCTCCCTTCCTCTCTGTAAAAAATCAATAAAATATATTTTTTAAATAAAAAATAAAATGGGCAAATGACTTGAATAGACATTTCTACAAGGAAGATATACAGATGGCCAATAAAACGTGTAAAGATGCTCAACAACATTAATTATAGCATTGCAAATCAAAACTACAGTGATGACACTTGACACTCATTAGGATGGTTATTATAAAAACAAAAATAAGCAACCAAACAAACAGTAAATAGCAAGTATTGATAAGGATGTGGAGAAATTGGAATCCTTGTGCACGGTTTGTGGGAAGATAAAAAGGTGCAGCCACTCTGGGAAAGCTAGTATGTAGGTTCCTCAAAAAGTCAGAAACAAAAGTACTACATGAGCCCTACCCAGTTTGGCTCAGTGGCTAGAGCGTCAGCCTGCAGACTGAAGGGTCCCAAGTTCAATTCTGGTCAAGGGCATGTACCTTGGTTGCAGGTACATCCCCAATAGGGAGTGTGCAGGAGGCAGCTGATCAATGTTTCTCTCTCATCGATGTTTCTAACTCTCTATCCCTCTCTCTTCCTCTCTGTAAAAAATCAATAAAATATATATATTTTAAAAGTACCACATGATCCAGGAATTCCACTTCTGCGTACCAGTATATACCCCAAAATAATTGAAAGCAATAACTCAAAGATATATGAATACCCATGTTCATAGCAGCATTACTCACAATAGTCAAAATGGGGAAGCAATCCAAGAGCCCATTGACAAATGAAAGGATAAATAAAACGTGTACAGACATACAATGGAATGTTATGGTTCCTAAAAGGAAGGAAGTTCCAACACATGCTCCACCATGGATGGGCCTGAAAGGCATTATGGTAAGTGAAATAATCCAGTCACAAAGGGACAAATTCTGTCTGATTCCACTTACGTGAGATACCCAGGGTAGTCAAATTCACAGAGACAGGCGTAGAATGGTGGTTGCCAGGAGGTGGAGGGAGGGAGGAATGCATTACTGTTTACTATAATTTCCGTTTGGGAAGATGAAAACCATTCTGGAGATGGATGGCGGTGATGGCTGCACAACAGTGTGCTTGTACTTCACACCCCTGCACTGGACACCTAAAAGATAGTTAAAATAGCTAATTTTGTGTTATGTATATTTTACAGAATTTATAAAAACTTCTGGTAAGAAGCTCCCCCCTTCTGGCATGGCACAGCACATCGCTGCCTCCTTACATCGTGAACAAGGTCTCTGACAGAGAGCATGGTCTCTGGAGTGTGTAATGATGCCTCCAGATAATAAACTTTTTCATTGTAATGAGAGCAGAATGTCACAAGATGTCACTCTTTAGCTGAGAAACTATTCCAACTGATTCAGTCGCTGTTGGCAGGAATGCCAGAGCAACTAACAAAAGCCTGTAACAACTCCTCAGTACTTCACTCATACACACATGATTTTCTGGGAAACTCATTTCATCTCTCTGGTATCACCAGACTTGTAAAAAACAACAACAACATACACACACACACACACACACACACACACACACACACACAAAGAACCTAACCCACAACAACTTCCTTTCTTAGGTCAATAAACACTATTGTATATTTAATATATGCTAATACATATTTAAGTACATTCTTCTAATTTAAAAGATTTTGCTTTATATAGTTGTACTCAAGTTATAACTGTTTAAATACACCACCAATAGGAGTTCAGTAATAGAAAATACTGTCTGTAAGATGGATTCCTTGACATTTTGGGGAAGTATTTTAGAAAAATACACACATGTGTAAAACAATTATAGTAAAAAAAAAAAAATAAACTCTTGAAATTTAAAAAATCACATTTATTACTGAGATCACTTTTTAAATGATGAAATATCCTGATGTATATTTTAGCTTTGTTTAAATATAAAAGTTTTAAGATTCAAAAATATTTCAATTCTTAAAGATTATAGCATTTAAACTGGTAAGATTACCTTGTAACTATAATCCAAATAACTTCTTTTTTAAAATCTTCAATTTTGGTAAGAAGTTTATAGCTGTCTTACAGTACCTAAAAATAATCTAAAGCTTAAATGTTCACCCCTGGACTCTGTGATATAGTAATAAACTAGAATATATTTTATTAGTAGTAACAATTACTAGGATTAAATTATTGTGATAAGAAAGACTATTGGAAATGATGAGTGAAAACATAGAAGTCAGAATGATATATATATATATATATGTGTGTGTGTGTGTGTGTGTGTGTGTGTAAGTAATGCCCAATTTAGAATATTGCTTTAATTTTATTGTTTAACTGTTAAACCTTAGGTCTTTCTATTTAACTTATGTTCAGATGATTAAATATGTTAAAGGAAAGAAAAGAATTACTTGTTAAAATTCACATAATTATTTTAAACACTGGAAGCTAAATATACGATTTATATTCGTGTTACAGCGCCTCTTCTAGTGTGTGCGTGTGTGTGTGTGTGTGTGTGTGTGTGTGTGTGTGTGTTGGGGTGGTGATGGGAAACCTCCCAGTGTGAAAGAAGTCTGTAGGGGCATCGCGGGAGAGACCCCTTCTGTCCCATCAATAACACGTTCAGTCCATTCCCTGGGAGTTGGCTAGCACAGTCGTTCCCCTGACCCTAATAAGGCTCCGCTACCTCTGCTTAGAACTCGGTAAGCGCCTCAGGGATCATCTGAAATTATTTGGGGGTGGATTGCTTATTGGACGTGGAGAAGGGAGGCTGTGGAGGTGGTAATTATCAGGCATTGCTTTGCCTGGCATTGCCATTGTGTTTTGCACGGGGTTTAAAGTTTTATTAATTTAAAAAAATGATTATGTAGACAGTAAAAAGTTCCCCAGAGGAACTTTTCGGTGGGGCTGCTGCTGTGGCCGCCTGGAAACAAGTGCTCCGAACGTCTGGGGAGAGGGAGGGATTGGCAGGTGCAGGCGTGAGTGGGGCCGAGGACTGCGCGCGGGGGTCAGCCTCTGCCTCTGTCCCCAGGTCGCAGGGATGCTGCTGTCCCGGCCCTGCCACCCCTGACGCGCCCGGGGGCCCCGGAAGAGCCCACCCGAGCCATGAGTCCCCTGAGGCTGCGAGCATCATCCCTCCTGCTGCTTCTTCTTCTTCTGCTGCTGCTGCTGGGCGGCTGTCTCCTCGCGGCCGCCCGGAGGGACCCGGGGGCGGCGGGCAGCTCCGCGGCGTCCGCCCGGGGGCCCGGGGGCGGCTCCCCCGGCCGCTTCCTCGGCCCCGAGCGCCAGGCGTGCAGCCGGCAGCTCGCGCGGTCCGCCCCGGGGCTGCGGCTGCGGTGCCGGGGCGCGGGCGGGGAGCGCCGCCGCTGCGCCCGCCGCGGGGAGCCGCCGCCCCGCCGGGCCCCCGCGCCGCCCCGGGCCCGCCTGTGCGCCGCGCCGCGCCTGGTGCCCCGCGCGCCCCCGCCCGCCGGCCCCACGGCGGCCCGCCTCCCCCCGCAGGAGCCCAAGCCCCGCCGGGCCGGGAGCCGGGGGCGGCCCCGGGAGCCCCCCGCGATCGGCCCCGCCGCCGCCGCCGCCGCCGCCGCCGCGGTGCCCCCGCCCCGGGGCGCGCGCCCCAAAGGGAAGCCCTCGGAGGAGAGGAAGACGAGAAAGACGAAAGGGGGCAAGAGGAAGGCGGCCCCGGGCCCAGGCGAGGAGCGGCGACCCCTGGGGACAGGGCCGGATGCCCACGGGCTGGACCCGAACGCCAAGTTCGAGGGGACCTACTGTGCGGAGGAGTGGCGCTCCCTCTGCAACTTCTTTGTTGGCGTTTGGAACGGCTAAGGGGGCCGGCCGGCCTGGGGAGAGACACAGGGGGTTTGGGGGGTTAGGGGAGGGGGGGTCGGGGGAGAAGGCGTTCAGATGGATGGAGAAGGAAATGAAGGGCACCTTAGGGCAGGAGATGACACGGGATAGAGAGTGGGGAGGAGTCCGGGGTCTAGAATGGAGGTGGGGATGGGGGCTTGGGATGCGAGTGTCATGGAAGGGGGTATGGTGAGTCTCTGGGAACAGCAGAGAAGTGGAACCAATTTGAAGAGTCTCCTCCATCCTGATTAAGACCAGAAGGAATAGTGGAAACAGAAGTAGGCTTAAGTAGGCTTACCTTAAATGCGTAAAAACTGTAGACTGGGGGGTGGGGGTGTGGGGGAGATGGGGACAGAGAGAATGAAAAAAAAAATAAGGGGGAAAGTGACAAAAGTGATGTGAATCTCACATGGGAAGCTGATACACTGTGTACCGTGTACCGCACATATTAAAATGTAATCACGAGCAGAAGCCGGTTTGGCTCAGTGGATAGAGTGTCGGCCTGCGGACTGAAAGGTCCCAGGTTTGATTCCGGTCAAGGGCATGTACATTGGTTGCGGGCACATCCCCAGTAAGGGGTGTGCAGGAGGCAGCTGGTTGATGTTTCTCTCTCATTGATGTTACTAGCTCTCTATCCCTCTCCTTTCCTCTCTGTAAAAAAAATCAATTAAAATATATTTTTAAAAATGTAATCACGAATAATTGATAGCTTGAGCCAAGTTTCTCACCTAATCAGCCGACAGAGTTTCCAACTTTTTTTTTTTTCTTTCTTTCTGAATTAGTATTAACTTGCACTCTGCTCAGTAATATAGGTGATGTCTACAGGGAGAGAAGCCATTTGCTGGCCAAAATGGACTCTAACGAATGATTTCAAAAGTGCTACTTTTAAACAGGGATGCCTCATGCTCTGAAACTTTCCCATGAACCGTCTAAATTCAGAAGTGAATTGTAGAAATTGAGTGCTCCGGTAGATTTTTTTTTTTTAAATAAGTTTTTATAGTGGACCATATTTTTAAAAACCAGCTAAAATGTAAGTATGTGTCTCAGAGTCCTTGGGATCATTATGGAAGCCGTATTTCTGTTTCCCGTAATTAATTGTTAACATATTTCATCTTAAATAAGATGTAGTGAGAAGCTTTGCGCAATGGGAATTCTGACTGCATTTGATCTCGTTCTGAGTTTGTCTTGAAGTAAGTTGCTAAGCTTATCTCGAATTGTTGGGAAAGACAAGAAAGAAGTCTATTTGTCCAAGAGTCACAAACTGGCAAGCCCCGGGCCCCATCATTGTTCCATTTGGCCTGCATGTGGCTGGTTCACTTTCATTTTTCCTCTCTTCTTTCCTCCCTCCCAGACTGGATTTGTTGCCAGCATTTAAAAATTAGGTAATTTCATTAAAAAGCCAGATTTCTAAATTGTCTTGAAAAATCAGACCTAGCAACGTTGGACCCTCCTTCCCGCATGGCAACAATTGGCTGACACCTACTGCTGGCGTCCCTTTAGATAGGTATGTTTTCTGGAGTTCTCCATTGCTCCTACACATCTTATCAATCGACTTCATTCATGTTACAGGCCTAAGCCCAAGGGCACATGCCAGGGTTCCAGGCTCCATCCCCGGTGGGAGGTGTGCAGGAGGCAGCCAATCAGTGATTCTCTCTCATCATTGATGTTTCTCTCTCTCCCTCTCCCTTCCTCTCTAAAATCAATAAAATATATTAAAAAAAAAAAAAAAAAGAATAGGGGAGAAAAGAAACAATATAAACCTGAAATTCCTGAGCCATGCCCACCTCTGCTTCTACTAGGAAGTCTAAACCTTGGCAACTCATGAACATACCTGTGCTCCAGTGTGGCTCAGGAGGAACATGTTCTTGGTGTGAACACGGTGGGTTCTGAAGATGCAGCTTCTGGACACTGTCAGCTAATTACTCAGCTCGTGACGGGCTCTCACTTAAAGGGAGGTTGGAGCACTGCACTCCATTTAATAAAAGGCTAATGTTCAGTTTGGGCAAAGTGTGAGCTAGGTCTTTTTTCTCCTGCCGTCACAAAAATATACTACAGATAAATGCTACTACAAGTTTAGGCAAAAAAGACCAGCATGCATGGGTTCAAATCTCGGTACTACTACTAACCAGCTGCATGACCTTGGACAATTCACTTCATCTCTCTGAGCTTCAGTCTTCCTCTATGTAAAATAGGGTGTGTGTGTGGGAAATAGTAATTGCCCCATGGGGTTGTTGGGAGGATTAAATAAGATACTCATAAACTCTAGCTGGTGTGGCTCAGTGGATAGAGTATCAGCCTGTGGACTGAGGGGTCCCAGGTTCAATTCCGGTGAGGGGCACATGCCCGGGTTGCGGGCTCAATTTGCAGTAGGAGGTGTGCAGGAGGCAGCCAATCAAAGAGTCTCTCTCATCATTGATGTTTCTTTTTTTTTTTTTTTTTTTTTTTTTTTTTCATCATTGATGTTTCTATCTCTCTCTCTCCCTCTCCCTTCCTCTCTCTCTAAAAAAAAAAAAAAAAAAAAAAAAAAAAAAAAAAAAAAAATCAATATAATATATATTTTTTTAAAAAAGATGCTCATGAAAAGCACAGTGCCTGGCACCTTGCAAGCCTGCAATAAATATATCCTTAGTGCTCCCATTTCCTTTACTATACCAATGCAGGTAACCAGAGGGACTTTCCTTAAAAGGCACTTACACAAAATGGCAATCAGCAGCTCTGCATCTCAGCTGGGAACAGCATCAAAAGAAATAAGGAAATGTGTAGTTGTTGAAGAGAGAATTATCCGAAGATGAGAACAATATGCAGTGTTCGCCTCCCTCATGTGGAAGCAAGGAGGGTATGTGAGATCTTCAATGAGGAGGAATTGAAAGGAGAAGAGAATGTTCTGGTCTTGAAGGCTTGGGGTCTACAGTTGACCTCCCAGCTCTACAGCTTTCTTATAACTTCAAAGAACAAATCTCCTTGCTTCCTGACCGGGCTCAGGGCTCCAGAGCTTTGATGAATTTACCCCTCGTTTGTCCCTCCTGTGACCTCTGGCTCACCACATTCAAACTCTTTCCCGTCTCAATTGTTGAAAGCAGGCATGAAAGCAGACCAAAGCCATCCTCTCCTTTTTAAAACATGGTGTTGGCTTCAGCCATGTTACAATTATTGATTGAGTGGCCGTCATGTACAGACAAGCAGGAAGAAAAGATGCTGGAAGATGTCATTAATAATAAGGTAAAATGCCTAAGAATAAACTCGATAAGAAATAGGCAAGAGCTGTATGGACAATACAGAAATATTTCGAAGGACAGAAAAGAAAGCCATAAAAAATGAAATTACAGATGGATTTATTATTTTTATTACATAAGAAGCATTAACATTTTTTTTCTATAAATAATCTATACGTTTAAACATGATTTCAACAAAACCACCAGCAGGATTTTGGTGGCTATGTGAACTAGGCAGACTGTTTCTAAAGTGCTAGAGGAAAACCAAAATGAATTTAAGGGCAGGAGGAATGCAGCGTTGTATGTCTTGGGGAGGGGGGAAATGGATGCTTTCATTGAGGGTACAATGTGAAATGGCTAAATACAGAATTTCCCAGGGGACTGTGGGCAGCACAGTGCAAGGCACTGCAAATGACGTGAGGGGCCTGTTTCTAGGTAACCACAGGAACTCGCCGTGAAAGGCTAGAAGCTCCGGACCAGCACTTCAGTGAACAGTTGCCTCCTTTGAGCTGGGTGGTCACGTGATCATGGTGGGGGCTGAAGATCCTAAACCTTTGATCCAGATGTTCTTTTGTTTTCATGCACAATGACCACAATAAGAAGGATTCTTCTCCAAATCGAGACAGGAATAGGGCCCTTTGGCACTGATTTTAAGAGGTGGAGAGAGAGTTGAAGGGAAGACAGCCAGTGTGGGTCCTCAAGATGTCACAGTTTATGTTTAGTCATATGTAAGTAGTTGCTGGCAGTGCCCTGGAATGAAATACTTACCAGCAGCTAAAAGCACTTAGTATTTACTACTCTCTCTTCTTATCCCTTCCAACTAATGCCCAAGGCTCAGGAATGCTTTCAATTAATTTTTAAAAAAAGGCAAAGCAAAGCTAAACAAAACACAATACAACAGAACACACACACACACACACGCACGCACGCACGCACGCACGCACACACACATGATTGGAGCATTTTGAAAATGTACCAACAGCAGCATGCCTACAGCAAAAAAGATTTTTAGGACAGCATATCCTAATGCCTTAGCTCATACCAGCATTCTCCACCATGTGGGTGTGCAACCATTTTCTTAGGTGGGTGTGGATGTTCCTGCAAAGCCCTGTTAAAATCCATAATATAAACCCTCAGGAAAATCTGAAACCACTTCGTGTAACTGTGAATGCCTGGCACCTACAGTGTTATAAAAACTTTCAGTGAGTCACCCAGAATGAAGGAGGACCTCAGTGTGGGATGGCAAAATGTGTGCCAAAAAGCAAGTAAGCTGCCAGCGAAAGGCTGGGGCAGACCGAAGGCTGGAGAGCTCTTATTTGCAAGCAGGATAATTAGCCTCCTGGGACCAGCGGTGGGGTGTTAAGAGCGAAGTGGCCAGCAGAGTTATTTGGCTGCAGCCTCAAGTTCCGAGCAGCTCTAACAGGTGACTACAGCTTAGTCATAGATTTGTTCAAAATAGCAGAGGAGGCCTTCTCTTTTATTTTTTAAAAATATATATCTTTATTGATTTTTTTTTTTTTTTTTTTTTTTTTTTTTTTTTTTTTTTTTTACAGAGAGGAAGAGAGGGATAGATAGAGAGCTAGAAACATCAATCAGCTGCCTCCTGTGCACCTCCCACTGGGGATGTGTCCCCAACCAAGGTACATGCCCTTGACCGGAATCGAACCTGGGGCCTTTCAGTCCACAGACCAATGCTCTATCCACTGAGCCAAACCAGTTTCTGCCAGAGGCCTTCTCTTTTATAGAGTAAGGGAGAGAGATAGAAAC